TTCGGACTCTGTCCGACCATGTCACGCATGGCATGCAGCGACTGCTTCGATACTCGAGAGCGCTCAGTGGGTTACGTGCCACCCCACGATCAGCCCGCGAGCCACGCTTGGGACTCCTGTCCAATACATCGTTGGTGTCTACCAACTCGGACATTCCAGTGCATAGCACGTTGACCGTCTCGGTCCGGTGCTCTCGCCATTAGCGTATTTGTCTCCTAACAGAGGTGGGTTCGTGACTCGCCAAAGCTCCACCAGAAGACGTGCGCGTAGCGCCCAAGTTCTCTGACCTCCAATCAAACCATGACTCATGGTGTTCCAACCATACCATTTCTAGAATGAGGTCATTCCTTGCGTCGAAGTCTAAGACTAGACAGCGTTCCACGCTATCCAAGTCCAGGAACTTGACTCTGAGGTCCACAGGGACCTTCGGGATCGTGACACGGGTCCCCGTCGCTAGGCGAACAGTGGCGATGTCATTTAACCGCGCTATCAGCCCCTCGGCATACAGCTGACTTCCTTCCATCGTGGAGCGTCGAGCATAATTGTCCGACGTCCTGGAATCGATGAGGATCATTCATGGCTTCTCGAAGCCCTTTACGGTTGCCTCCACGACCAGCAATCCCGGCTTGCACACACGTTCCGTGTTTATGAGCACGGAGCTCTTCGGGGCTGGGCTCTGTTGACCTATGCCTCCCTGAGGCTCAACAGAACTCAGTACTTCCCCAGTAGGTCGCCCCGTGCCTACTGGGTGGCGTCGTTTCACCCGACGAACCAGACTGATAGGCATTGTGGCGATGGTTCGAAGAACTTTGATGCGCCTTGCACAGGGGGTAACCGTTCCGAAGATGACGGGTGTCTCCAAAGACAAAACACCGTCGAATATTTGTGTGCTGCTCGGCAGCTCGGAGCTCTGCTCCCTCGTCCTCAGCATAGCTGAGATCCATGAGCACAGACCCGCTAAGTGTGCATTCCAAATAAGTGGTGCCGACTTGAGATTGAATTCGGCATTCAACGCCACATTCACCGCATCTTCAAATGAAGATGGATGCACATGGGATACTTCCATTCTGGCCACACCAGTGCGGAGGCCTTCTATAAAGACGATCACTGTGGAAGGAGATCTACTGCCATCCCGGTTATGCGAGTGCGCATCTCTTGGACAAATTTCACCAATTCCTTGTTGCCCGGTCGGGCGGCAAGGAAACGCGATTGCACGCGATATGCCTGATTAGGCGGCGAGAAATCTCGTGGAAGCTGCAACTTTCAGTTCCGCCCAGGAGGGAACGCAGCTTCGACCGAAGTGCCGCACGTCAGTGCCCATTCTCGTGCTCGACCTCCGAGCTTTGATATGGCTGGCGCCACGCGCTGTTGTTCGGTCTGGAGCATGGCAGATATGATGATCATCTCGACCTCTCTCACCCAGAGCAGAAGATTCTCTCCATCCTTTTCCTCAAAGACCTTGACGCTCACAATGAGCGGCTTAGGGCGAGGGAAGTCATCCATTACTGGCGGTGGCGTCATAGACGCGAATGATCAAGACCGTACTTATACCGGATCATAGACGCGAATGAAACATACATCTTCTGCTGCAGGTGCTCTAGCAGCGGATTTTTGTAATTTGAAAACACATCTAGACGTGCACCGATTGTCTCGGGGCCTTGCGTCGCAAGGTGTTGCACGCCCTCAGGGCCCAGCAAGGACATCAGCTCTTAAAGCCCGCCCTGCATGCCCCGGCGAGAAAAATTGTTCCATCTTCACAGAGGATCAGTCTAAACGACTCAGGTGTTGATTGACTACAAGTGCTACCAAGTGC